CCTTGAGGATTTCTCAGTTATAAAGAAAGGACATATAAGTTGGCTAAGGAATATCATTAAATACCGTGATTCTTGGGTGATTCTTGGGTTGCTTTTTGTTAGTAGAAGTCATAAGTATCTCAAATATATTTGGTTATAAAGAAAGGACATATAAATTGGCTAAGGAATATCATAAAGTATCGTGATGCTTGGGTTTCCTTTTATTAGCTCAAGTGTAAAGTATCTTTAACGTACATTGTTGCAATGTGTTTTCTTGTAGAGAAAAACTTGTGTGGATGTAAACTTATGCTGCATAATTCTTCTCCTTTCCTTGTATAATTGATTGCTTATTTGACATATTTGGAATGTGTGCTTTGGTCATCATGTGATGTGAGATTTTAAGTCACGTTCTCAAAGTTTTAAGATAACAATGTTAATATTAATTAAACAATGATAAAAATGTAAGCCAGTAGTTTAAAATATTTTTTCTTTTAATGATCTTGACAAATCTTAAAAGAGTAACAGTGATGTACATCTCAGTAACAGACTTGTTGCCTTTTCTCAAGACACTGCTTTTGGCGTCTTAATGGATACTCTGGCATAAAACAGAAGAGTTCTATTTATATAATTCAGATGTTCAAAAGCTGCTAATGACCTAGAAAAAATTAAGCCACTGAAATCAGAGCTCACCAAGAACTTTGAACAAATGATTGAGCATAAGACTACTGGAATATAAGCTTAATATCATACTATCATATATAATCTTCATAATATTTCAGTAGACACAAGTGTGCGTGCAGATACAGTGCTCGAAAACGTTGTTGTAGTAGTAGTGATAATACAAGCCAAAAAGTTAAAGGTGTTGGGAGTTTTTAGATCAAGATAACAATATCTTAATCTAAAACAACTTGATGGTAGAATTGGAGTCCAGACATGCTTCTCCGGTCCCAAAATTTATGGCGTAGGAAGATGTCAAGGTACCTGAAAATTGAATATTATTATTATTGAACGACAAAGATATTGGCAAGAAAGCGAGAAAGAACCTACAACAAACAACTGAAGCAGAGCTTACTACATCAATTCCACAATTTTACAGCCAAAAGGTGATAATTTTATGGTGAAGTTATCTTAATAATGAACATTTACTTAGATGAAAGCGTAACTGAGTTCGGCATATCCACTTGACGCAAAATCCGAATCACTGAGGCCGCCTAAAAAGTTGGAAAAGTTGCATACCATCTTTGTTACTTCCTTCTCCCTAACTTGTAATAACTGGTCCTTCATACCAGTTGAGGTTGTGCAGATTGAGAATCCCAAAAATTATTCTTGCAGATTGAGAATCCCAAAAATTATTCTTTTTCAGTAACCAAAAGTACCAAAATGAGAAAGATACTTCCTGTAATTAAATGTAAACATATCAATACAATGAAGACTAAAATTTTCCAGAAGGAAATGTAGAACATAAAGGTTTCCTAATTGTTAACAACCTGCCAATAGACATTCAGAGCATCACATAGCTCAAAGGGGAAGATATTCTGAGAAATACATGGCAAATGAATATGAATTACTCAAAGTATCAATACGGAAGAAACACCTTTACATGTATTGGCTAACTAAATTTCACGAATGATAGGGTAACATATATTCACAACATCGCAGTGTATATAAGTTAAATCGTTTTCATGTTATTATAGTCTATTTCCTGTAATTGTTTTCCCATAGTTGCTGTTCTGTTTTCTCCCTACTCCAAAATCTATGTACTGTGCAAAAGAAATCAAGAAGCTAAAAAGATTTAAAAATTTTGCCTAAAGTGTTGCAATCACTTGACCTCAACTCTATCCCAAAAGACACAAATATGACAAATAGCAACAAAAGATAGCAGTGGCGTAAATATTGCAACAACTAATTAGAGAATCGATAAAGAGTATACAACTGAACACTACTTCTACTATCGCCAGGTAAAGAGAAGATATGAAATTTTGAACACAATAGCACTTCGAATCCCATGGGCCACTCTTACACTCGACTTAGCCAACTGGAACTTGACAGAATGCCAATTATCATAAGAAATCTAAAATTCAAAAGAAAAACCCAAACTAGCTATTTGAAACAAAGAGCAAGAGTGAGATATAGTCTCAGATTTGGCTTCTTGCTGGTTCTTTTGATTCAGTTCTTAATAGTATTTGAAGGTTTTAAAAACATGTTTAAGCTAAATAACACAAAGGGAAATCAAAGACTGCGCCTGAAACAAAAAATATGAGAGAGAGAAAAAAGAATAGAAGCAGAAGAACACTTTTATTAATGCTTCAAATTAGATATATAAAAGCCTAGAATGAAAAGTAAAAAATAATAACACACACGATGTAGCAGTTAACTAAACAACTCCTAAATAATAGGAAAGCATGACTAACAACTAATTGACTAAGTCTTACTTAAAACATAGGCAGTAAAATTAAATTTACTGCAGTTCAAAAGCAGATTTCTAACACTCCTCCTTGTTTTGGATACTGTAAACTCCAATTTTCTATTTAAGAAGCTCGAATTTGCTGATTGGTAAAGGCTTAGTAAACAGGTTTTCTAGCTAGTTTTCAGACTTGCAGTAGACTAGAGTTACTTCTCCCTTTGCTGCACTTTTCTTAGGAAATAGAACTTGATGTTGAAATGCTTGGTCTTCTTGTGAAACACCGGATTGTTTGAGATTGCAATAGCTGCCTGGTTGTCGACAAGAATGATAGTACTTCCCTTCTGTTCCAAATGTAAATCATACATGATCTTTCTCAGCCACAAGACTTGGTTTACTGCTCTTGTTGTTGCTATGAACTCAGCTTCTGCAGTGGATTGTGCAATAATTTCCTGTTTCCTAGATGACCATGAGAATATTCCTGAACCTAGGCTGAAATAATGGCCAGAGGTACTTCTCATATCATCGATCCAGCCCAATAACTATCTAAGAATCTAAGTAACTAGAAGCTTGGACACTTCTCAAACTTTACACCATAGTCAATAGTACCTTTGATATATCTTAATATTCTTTTTGTTACTCTTAAATGCATTTCACTTGCACAATGCATAAAACGAGATAAGAGACTTACAACAAATTAAATATCAGGCCTTATTGCAGTGAGATACATTAAGCATACAATTAAGCTTCTATAATAACCTTCATCAACTTTGTCGGCTCCATCTTCTTTAAAGAGCTTCTCTATTTTATTCATCGGCGTGCTCATCGACTTGCATTCCTCCATTTGAAATTTCTTCAGAATTTCCTTTGCGTATTTCTTCTGGAAAATGAACACTTCACTTTTGCTTTGCTTGATATCCATTCCAAGAAAATAGTCATAAGACCAAGATTTGTCATTTCAAAAACTTGCATCATTTCTTCTTTAAAATACTCAGCTTGATCACACCTTTGAAAGAGTGGTTTTGCTCTGTCAATACAGCTTATCGAGTTATCAAGCTGAATTGCCTTCTGTAAGGAGCTTGAATCGTTCGTTTACTCTAAGGCCTTGTATTATTTCCTGTTACCAGAAGATCATCAACATAAAGCGACATAATAAGGATATCAGTGTCTTTATGTTTTACATACAATACAAATTGGATTAAGATAAGCTTTTTTTCAATGCCCAAGCTTAACAGATGATCATCTATCCTACTATACCAAGCTCTTGGTGCTTGCTTTAGGCCATACAGAGCCTTTTTTAGCAGATAAACTTTATCTTCATCACCGTGTTTCACAAATCCTGGTGGTTTCTCAACATATATTTCCTCCTCCAGTATGCCATTTAAGAAGGCTAATTTGACATTGAGTTGGAACACCTTCCATTACATTTGTGCTGCTATTGCGAGTAGCAATCTGATTGTGTCTAATCTTGCAATCAGAGAAAAACTGTCAGAGTAATCAACACCATAAATTTGTGTGTACCCTTTAACTACAAGCCTCGCCTTGTATTTGTTGATGGAACTATCTACATTTAACTTTTCTCTGAAGACCCATCTTACACCAATGACTTTACTATCTTCAAGTTTGTCGACCAGCACCCAAGTTTTATTTTTCTCAATCATGGAGATCTCCTCCTCCATTGCTTTCTTCCATTTTGGGCTTGAAAAGCTTCTACTGGACCAGCAGGTTCATAGATGGCGACATTACACCTCTGATAGATATTTGACAACAATCGTCTCCCCTTGAGTGGATGATCATCTTCTAGTTCTTGCTGCCAGTGTTCTGTTTTTTACTCTTCAGAAGGGTTGATGTTTGCTTCTAGAGAGCGTTTTCCTGATTTCTGAGAATTCTTCCAGTCCCACTGTTCATTCTCACTAAAATGAACATCTCTTGTAATTGTCATCTTTCATGTTTGAGGATGATAGACCTTGTAGTCTTTAGAAACTCCACTGTAATCCACATGGATTCCTATGATTGCCTTCTTGTCAAGTTTGTCACGTTTAACCTGAGGAACATGAACCAAACAGACACAACCAAATACTTTAAGAAAACTGAGTGGAGGCTTAAACCCATACCAAGCTTCAAATGGTGTTTTATCCTTCAAAGCTTTCGTTGGAAGTCAATTTTGCATAAAAACTGCGATATTTGTTGCCTCTATCCAAAATATCTTAGGCAACTCCTTCTCATGCCACATACATCTGGTCATCTCCATTATCCATCTATTTCTTCTTCCACTAACACCATTTTTTTCTGGTGTGTATGGTGTTGTAAGATGATGCACAATGTCGGCCTCCTCACAGAATGAATCATATTTCATTGAAGTGTATTCCTTCCCATTATTAGACCTCAAAGCTTGAATCTTACAATTACTTTGATTTTCCACCAATTTCTTCAATTTCCAAAATACACCAACAACTTCTGACTTGAATTTCGAGAAAACAAATCCAACACATTCTTGTAAAATCGTTAATGGAAAGAACGTAATAGATGTTACCTTGTAGTGATGGAGTTCTTTGAGGCCATGCGACATCAGTGTGAACTAGTTGTAGCTTTTGTAAGGCTCTCCAGGTTGATTTTGGAAATGGCTTTCTGTGTTGCTTACCAAATTGGCAGGCATGACATTCAGTGGAATTCATATCTAGATCAGGTAAGCTCTCCACCATTTTCAACTTTTGCATCTTGATAATGATAATGCCCGAGTCTCTTATGCCATAACTCAGTGACATTTTCTTTTGCTGAATACAACATATGCTCTTCCTCAAATGGATCTAATGAGAAACTTTTTCCTCTCATTTTGACTCTAAACAAGTCCTGCCCTTAGGGATCCTTGATCAAGCAATATTTATCTTCAAAATAAAGTTTGAATCCTTTTGTCTACCAATTGACCAACACTAAACAAGTTTCGGTCTAAGTCTGGTACATAAAGAACATGTTTTATTGTTTTTGTACCTGTTTGTGTCTCAACTGCAATAGCTCCCATTCCTTTTGCTGGAATGTGACCACCATGGCCTATTCGAACATTTTCAACTCCAGTAGGCTTCAATTATTTGAAGAGTTCTTTATCATGAGTCATGTGATTTTTGCATCCGCTATCAATCAACCACGACTCGCTAGAAACATTGCTTGCAAAACATGATGCAACAGAGAGTTGATCCTCCTCCTGTTCATTTACAACTCGAGCATCTACATCCTGCTGCTAAGTTTTGTTCTTACAAATGATTGTTTCATGCCCACACTGATTGCACTTACTGCACTTAGCTTCAGGCCTTCTCCAACACTTGAAAGGTGTGTGTCCGATCTTGCCGCAAATGCTTACAAGGAGGGTAGTTACCTTTGAAGCTACGTGTTTTGTTTTTGTTGTTGCGTGCTGAACCTTCTCCATCAGTTGGTTGGTGCTTCTTGTTCTTCTTTTTCTTATATCGTCCATCATCTTGATGCTTGGCACGTAAGGCTCCTCCAACAACTCTTTTTATCTCATAACACATCATTTCTCTTTTGCTTGAAAGGCACTTGAGATCTCTGTTAGTGTAATATTGGACAAGTCCTTAGTATTTTCTAAGGTTGTAATGGTCATCTCAAATCTTTTAGGTACCGTTACAAGGATTTTCTCAACGATCCTTGAATAGTTAAAAGTGGAACCCAACAATCTGACGTGATTGGCTATGTTAAGAAGTCAGACAATGTATTCCTTTATGGTTTCACTATCCTTCATCCTTTGCAGCTCAAACTCACGTACCAAATTCAGCACTTGCATCCCTCGAATCCTTTCATCTCCTTCATACTCAGTCTTAAGATAATTCCATACCTCTTTTTCCGACTTCAGATACATGATACAAGTGAAGACAATGGATGAAACTGCAGCAAAAAAATATGTCTTTGCCTTTGATTTCCTAATTTTCCTTTCCTGGTGATTTTTAATTTGTGCCATCGTGGGATTGTTTGGCAAGTGAGCAATGATGTATTCATCTTCTACAGCCTCCCAGAGATACAAAGCTTCCAGATATTCATGTATTCTAACAACCTAGATTCGATAACTTTCTCCACCAAATGTTGGTGGTGCCATTGAAGAAAAACTTGCTTCTCCGTTCATGGTATTCACGAAATCTGATTGGAGCGCACACACATAGGTCCCTTAAGAAATAAAGCTCCTAATACCAATTGAAGGTTTTAAAAACCTGATTAAGCTAAATAACACAAAGGGAAATCAAAGACTGTGCCTGAAACAAAAAAGACGAGAGAGAGAAAAGAAAGAATAGAAGCAGAAGAAGAACACTTTTATTAATGCTTCAGATTAGATATATAAGAACCTAGAATGAAAAGTAAAAATAATAACACACGATCTAGCAGTTCACTAAACAACTCCTAAATAATAGGAAAGCATGACTAACAACTAATTGACTAAGTCTTACTTAAAACATAGGCAGTAAAATTAAATTGTTGCAGTTCAAAAGCAGATTCCTAACGGTATTGAAGCTGGATGGCAGGTAGTGTTTCTTTTTTAGATGAACTATTCAATTCTGGTTTGAGCAATGAAAGACTGAAATTATTGTCATATTATATGTCTTTCGATGCCGCACCCTTGTTAGATTCTCCAAAATTACACTACTTTTTGGAGAATTTTGGAGAATCCAACCCTCACCCGTTAACATTTTTAAAGAGTTCGAGCAACATAGGTGTCTATATCTGCTAGTCTTGTGACTTCCTTCTTTTGTTTTTCTTGTCCTTTTGGGGTTAAAAACAGGTTAGTCCAGATTTGTATGGAGATAACAATGCAAGACTTTTTACCTACTGGACTGTAAGTGAAATGTTTTTTCCCCTCTAAATACAGCTAGCATACATACTAAACTTTAAACTAAATCAAAGATTGTGTGCTGTGTGTTGTGAATTGTGAAGTTTATATTTGATAATTGTAATCTTGTGGAATTTTTCTTGCACAGAGTGATGCTTATCAAGCCACGGGCTGCTACAACTTGCTATGCTCATGCGTTATTCAAATAAATAATGAAATAGCAATGGGGGCCACCATTTCCCCTCTTTCTAGCTATCATGGTTCACAATATGATATAAGCATTCTTGTCTGGAAGGTATTTTAACATATTGGATTCATAAATCTTGCATTGACAGTGCCACGTGAAATTGAACAGATGAACAACATAATTATTGAAAGTTACGTAAATAATACTATAAAGTGCAATAATTAACAACTAAAAATACTTTAAAATCATATAAGAAATTTGGTTGACTCTCCTAATTCTATACATGTGACATAAATTATAATAGAAGAAGTAATATATATTGTTCGAAAATGACGTAAAATTTATTATTATAATGAAAAATGTAAAATTGCTCAACTGTTATTATTATTATTTTCTAAATATACTAAATATTACAAAAACTTTCTTCTCTTCTAGTTGACATTTCATGTCACGTTAAATATTATATTCAATTTAAATTTGAAATTCTTATTAGAAAAGAGAAAAAGATAAAATATTACCATTCTAGAAGAATTTTTTATGAACTTTTTATTATTTGATAATACATACTTTGACATACATTAAGCCTATATTATTTTATAATATAGAGAGCAATAATATTCATTTGGAGAGACTCAAAAAAGAAAAGAAAAAAATGTCTTCTAACTTTATAGAATTAAATAGCAAACAAATCAAAGGAAAAAAATAAGAAGTTCACGGGTCCAAACTTAGTAATAAAACAATATTTTTATTTATTTTAGCATAAGTAGAGGCATTCTACATAAAAATTAATGCCATAAATTCTATCCTCTCTGGGAATTCCATGAATTTCCAAATGTCTCCATCTATTTTTCCCAACATCATAAAAGTAACAAGCTAAAATACAAACGTTCATCACAATAAACATAATCTCGTCATCATGAGAATCATAGAATACTTGAGGAGAACTATACAATGGTTTCGGTATATCTTCCACAACTTTCCACTGCGAAGGAACATGAATGACATGACTTTTCCATTCTTCTTTTTCAAAAAATTTTAAAATCCACAAATCATTTCTACCGGTGAAACATTCACAACAGTCTAGCAATGCTAGTTTGCCCTTTACTTCTATCAAATCATAATTAAATCTATTGTCACATATATCATTACCCAATCAAATAACTTTGAAATTTTCAGATCTTAAATCAAATGCAACCATTAAATTCTTCAAGAAATTTAACATATAGATAACTTCTTTAATAGAGCAACTTTTTTTAGTAAAACATGGAAAAAAAACATCATTGATGCTTTTAATTTTTCTCCATGTTTTGTCTATGCTTAAAGTGAAACTAAAATTTAGTATATTCCCACGTGAATTCTAAAAGTGGATCAGAATTTTGTTCTTCTTTTCTACCGGTTCGTAACCTAGCAAATAGTAATTTAAAGATTTAGGTGAGTGAGAATTTTTTCTCCAATAGGAAAGTACTATCATTTTTCTTTTACTGAGATTGAAAATTCTAACATGCTCCTTGTAACAACCTGTACCCGCCGTTATAGAAAAGTCAATGGGGAAAAATTTTGGGCCGAAAAACTTTTTCGTAGTAACTTGAGAATTCCTAGCCTAGTCCAGATTTGGACGAAATCGGAGTCAGTGAGGTCTAGGGAGATATGGTAACAAATGAGGGATCTATTAATAAATTTGATTGCATGAGTGGATAGCTAAGACGTTAAGGAACTCGTATGACTTTACGGAATCGAATTCGGGCTAGTAGAACTCTCAAAACTGATCTTAGCGTGAGAGGGTAGTTTCTGAGTGTCATGGATGAAGGTGTGTTGTGAAATGGGGGTTTAAAATTCTTAAATTAGCTCACTGTTTCCGTGCAAGCCGCCAGGGCGGGACTGTTGTAGCAGGATGGGGGCCACCATAGCGAGCCAGTCGCAAATTAAGTCAAAAATAAACCCTAAAAATGCCATTATTCTACAATTTTCATTTTTGAAAGCTAGGAAATGACCCCAGACGAGTTCTTGACAGTTTTCCATGATTTTTGGTGCTAAAGGTAAGGTTTTCACTCCGCAAATTCATTTTTCAATCCGTAGAACGTAGAATCTTGATTGTACATCGTTGGGGGAGGGTTTTGGACGGTTTTGGATGGAGGAAAAAGTCCTAGATGCACCTTAGGATCATAATTTGGGTCTTGGTTTATTGGGTCTGTCATAATCCAGGTAAATTAGACCTTAATTATTGATCCCCGTATTGAATTGTTTGTTTGTAGACCTAAAGCAAGCGGAAAGATTCCGCAAAGGAAAGAATCAAGTTTCTTAGGAGGGTTCAAGCTTTTTTCAAGGTAGGTGATGGTTGTGATGTATGTTAGTAATTACTTCATTATAATGCATATATGCGAATGTTGCACTATTGATCACACTAATCGTAAATGAGCATAAATGAATGATTGTATGCCATGAATCAACACTTGATTGTATGGTTTTGAGAATGTACATTGTGTTTGTGATTGTGGCTTGTTGAATGGATCGGGTGCTACGTTCCAACACACTAACTTGGATCGGGTGCCACATTCCGGTGCATAAATGGAATCGGGTGTCACGTTTGGCACACTAACTTGGATCGGGTACCACGTTTCGGTACACTAACAGTTTGGGTATGGGTTCCATGAGAGGACCATTGACTTGTCATATATATGTATTACTAAGAATGTGAAATTGTACATTGATCCTGAAATGATGAATGATATTGTATATGTTCGGTATATGCCTGTTTATTTTGTTGTGGTTACTTGTATATGCCTCACTTATTGAGATAGCCACGTGATCCTTCCAATACATTGTGGTTGTGTACTGATACTGCACTTGCTCTTTCTTTGTTGAGTACAGGGCATCTTCAGGCGGCTACTGACAGACCTCGTTTAGAAGATCAGTGATCAATCAAATTCAAGGGTGAGTTAGTTCTTCCAGGCTGCCATGAGTTCTCGTTATGTTTAGTCCATTCTATTCGGACTTAGACTAGTACTTTAGATATTCTTATGTTTAGTTTGGGGTTGCACCATTTTCTTAGACTTGTCGTTAGTAAATGTTTTGGTACATTGACTTTTAGGTTCTAGGCTTTATTTCCGCAATTGTTTTTATTAGACTCTCGGAGTTTATGGGAACTCCCTATTTTTCCTTTAGACATTTAAACCTTCTTCTATATCTTTAAATGCTTTAGTTTTAGTTAATTTGATTAGTTGGGTTGTAGTAACGGTTCTCCCATTGGAGGGTTAGTGTGGGTGTTAATCACGACGGTCTGGGTCGTGACACTCCTTGTAGTGCTTCCAAATACAGTACGAACCATTAACACGTGGCCCATCGAAGTATTGACCATGACAATCAAAACTCCATCTAGAGACATTTCCATATTCGTTTAGATTTACATCATATAGATTTCAGTTTTTCCTATAAGGAATTTTGTTCCACCATCACGAATCATAGAACGTCGGTGATGAACATAAGTGAAATTTGAATCCAACACAAGGGCATTGAAAAAAATTAGAAACGCATCTAAAATGCATCAATGACATAACAGGAAGCCATAAAAATATTTCGATAATTATTTCTTGAGGAAGTGTAGGAATTCTTCTCATAGGTATCATCTTTATATCCTATGTAAAAGGAGCTTGAAGTTTGAGTGTGTCAAATTAAAGTCTCTGCATGCTTTTATAAGTAGGGTGAAATTTTCCTTACTAAATGTCTTATTTGACTTTATCATCTACTGGCCTTATAATACTTGCATTGGATTAGATTTATATTAAGTTGATCTGATTCAAAATAACTTTTTTCCTTTTTTGACTTTGACTTGATAGGAATTTTAATAAAGTAAATAAAAATTTTAAATCATGTATATAATCATAAATTAAAGATATGTATAATTTACTAAAATACAGTTTTAATTAATATATCATATGAAAAAGTCAAAATTAAAGATCACTTGTCGAAAAAGAAAAAGACATTCTTTATGAAACAGACTAAAAAGGATTATAAAATAAACTAAGTAAAATTTTAAAAAAAATGAATTAATAGATTCAAAACTATACAAGTTAACTATTTATCTATAAAAGCAAATGAATAATGTTTTTTTCTATTTGTGTAGACTCTCTTGAGTCTTGCGTCTCTACAAAGTTTTGCCAGCTAACATATATCAAACATTATAGACAAGTAATGTCATGATTGAGTTAATTTCCTAAATAGTCTATTAAATAAAATCATATTTGATTTTTTAAAACTATAAAATCACTCAATTACTTTTTTTCTTCAAAATATACTAACCAAAAAAATACTATTCTCTTTTAGTTGACATGCCTGTAGCATTAAACACCATATTCAATTCAAATTTGAAAAGAGAAAGAATAGAAAATATTAAGTTTTGAGAAGAATTCTTTTATGATTTTTTTTAATCATTTAAAAGCATATACATTGACATGCATAAATCCTAACATATATATATATATATTTGATTTATTTGAAGCGACTTAAAAAAAAGAGAGACAAAAACAGTGTTATTAACTTTATACAATTAAATAACAAGCAAATCATTTTATTATATTTTTTATTAGAAAAAAAAAAAAAGCCCCGGGTCCAAACTTTAATTTGTGACAAGCAATGTAATTTTTTTAGCATAAGTTGAGGCTTTCTACATCAAAATTAACTCCAAACTTTGATTTCAAAAGTATCTTTCCACTACACAAATCATTTAGATCATAGAAATATTCATAACAAATCTAACAATGCTAATTTGGTCTTCACTTCTATCAAACTATAGTTAAATATATTGTCATATATATCATTATTCAATCCAATAATTCTAATATTTCAGCTCTAAAATCAAATGCAAAGAATAATTTCTTCTAGTAATTCAACATGTAGCTAAATAACTCCTTGTATTGAGAAATCTTTCCTATTGAGACATGTAAAAAATCAACGATGCTTTTAATTTTTTTCATGATTTGTTATCTATGCTTAAAGTAAAAATTTAACTTATTGTGGGGCCACATGAAATCTTAACTATCATCAAAACTTTATACTTTTTTTTCTAACGTTCATAACCTAGTGAACAGTAATTTAAAGGGATGTATAGAGTATCTGAGTGGAGAATTTGTTTCAACAAGGAA